GAGAGAGAGAGAGAGAGAGAGAGAGAGAGAGAGAGAGAGAGAGAGAACGCATCCAAACAAGGGGCCAGTGAAATGGCTCAGTGAGGAAAGGGGCTTGCTGCCAATCCTTATGACCTGAGTTTAATACCCAGGGCCAACATAGTGGAAGGAGGGAACCAACTCCTACAAGTTTTCCTCTGAATTCCATTTATATGTCCTGGCCGATACTCACCAAATAGATAAATAAATCAAAGAAAAGGGCAGATAGTTAGGTCTCAATCGATGAGTCTTTCCCTTAGTCCGTCTCTCACTCTCTAAAAGCCTTGTGAAGCAGTAACCCCACCAGAGAATAGTCAGGGTGTATAGTCTCCTCACTAGACACTGTACACTGCATTCAGAGTGTGTTTGCTTATGGGACTCATGGTGGATAGTTTCAGTTACACATTGTCAGCATTTCTGTGCTAAGGTTCGTAATTGAGATCATTGAATTGAATATATAATTATAAAGATAACATTTGACTGTCTCTAAGTTCTTAACATACTGTTTGCCCTTTTAATAATATTGTGATAGAAATATCATCATTTCCAGTTTACTGTGAAAAGTCTGAAGCTAGAAACATGTAGTTTCCTGTTCAAGATAACATTAGGTATAAATTGTTAAGAGTAGAATTCAGACAGAAGGTCCATTTAACTTCACCCCATCCTGTGAGCATTATGAGTGTGTGTGCACATGTGTGTATTTCATACTCTTACTGTATAAAATTAAATAAAGAATAGAATGCTTTCATAAGAAAATTATGGGATGGAACTAACAACAAAACCAAAAAGTAACAGGAATTAACAGTCATTGGTCATTAATATCTTAATATCAATGGACTCAATTCACCTATAAAAAGATACAGGCTAACAAAATGGATATGAAAACAGGATCCATCCTTCTGCTGCATACAAGAAACACACCTTAACTTCACAGACAGACATTACTTCAGAGTAAAGGGTTGGGAAAAGATTTTCCAATCAAATGGAACTAAGAAAGAAGTTGGTGTAACTATTCTAATATCTAACAAAGTAGACTTCAGACTAAAATCAAAGAAATGGAGGACATTTCATATTCATCACAGGAAAAATCCATCAGGATGAAGCCTCAATTCTGAACATTTATGTTCCAAATACAAGAGTACCCACATTTGTAAAAGAAACATTTCTAAAGCTTAAATCACACATCAACCCCCACACACTAATAGTGGGAGACTTCAACACCCCATTCTCACCAATGGACAGGTCTGCCAGACAGAAACTTAACAAAGAAGGGAGCTATGAGATGTTATGACTCAAATGGACATAACAGACATTTACAAAACATTTCACCCAAACACAAGAGAATATACCTCTTCTTAGCACCTCATGGAACCTTCTCCAAAATTGACCACATACTCAGTCACAAAGCAAATCTCAACAGATAACAAGAAGAAAAAAAAAAAAACTGGAATAACCCCGTGTCCTATCGGATCACCATGGCTTAACGTTTGAATTCAACAACACAAATTACAGAAAACCTACAAGCTTATGGAAACTAAACAGCACTCAACTGAATCACCCCTGGGTCAACGAAGAAATAAAGACAGAAATTAAAGACTCCATAGAATTCAATGAAAATGAAGGCACCACATACCCAAACTTAAGGACACTATGAAAGTAGTGCTAAGAGGAAAGTTCATAGCACTAAGTGTCCACATAAAGAATTTGAAGAAATCTCATACTAGCGACTTAACAGCACACCTGAAAGCTCTAGAACAAAAAGAAGCAAAGTCACCCAGGAAGAATAGACAACAGGAAATAAACTCAGGGCTGAAATCAATAAAATAGAAACAAAGAGAACAATTCAAAGAATTAATGAAACAAAGAGTTCTTTGAGGAAATCAACAAGATAGACAAGCCCTTATCCAAAATAACCAAAAGGCAGAGAGAGAACATCCAAATTAACAAAATCAGAAATGAAAGGGAGACATAACAACAGACACTAAGGAAATCCAGAGAATCATTAGGTCATACTTCAAAAACCTCTACTCCACAAAATTCAAAAATCTAAAAGAAATGAACAATATTCTGGATAGGTACCACATACCAAAATTAAATCAAGACCAGATAAACAATTTAAATAGACCTATAACCCCTAAGGAAATAGAAGCAGTCATTAAAAGTCTCCCAACCAAGAAAAAAAGCCCAGAGCCAGATAGTTTCAGTGCAGAATTCTACCATAATTTCAAAAAAGAGCTAATAGCAATACTCCTCAAATTGTTCCACACAATAGAAACAGAAAGAACATTGCTAAACTCTTTTTACAAGGTTACACTTACCCTGATACCCAAACAACACAATGATGCAACAAAGAAGGAGAATTACAGACCAATCTCCCTCATGAACATTGATGTAAAAATACTCAGTAAAATACTGGCAAACCAAGTCCAAGAAAAAAAAAATCATTCACTATGTCAAGTATGTTTCATCCTAGAGATGCAGGGATGGTTGGTTCAATGTACCAAAGTCTGTCAGTGTAATCCACCATATAAACAAACTGAAAGAAAAAAATCACATGGTCATCTCATTTGATGCTGAAAAAGCCTTTGACAAAAATCTTAACACCCAACATCCCTGATCTTAGAGAGATCAGGGATACAAGGAACATACCTACACACATAATAAAGGCAATATACAGCAAGCCTAGAGCCAACATCAAATGAAATGGAGAGAAACTCAAAGTGATTCCACCAAAATCAGGAACAGAACAAGACTATCCATTCTCTTCATATCTATTCAGTATAGTACACAAAATTCTAGTTAGAGCAATAAAACAACAAAAGTAGATCAAGGAGACAAATGGGAAAGGAAGAAGTCAAACTTTCGCTATTTGCCGATGATATGATAGTATACATAAGTGACCCCAGGGAACTCCTATAGCTGATAAACACCTTCAGTAATGTGGCAGGATACAAGATTAACTCAAAAAAATCAGTAAGCCCTCCTATATACAAGTGATAAATGGGCTGAGAAAGAAATCAGAGAAACAACATCCTTTACAATAGCCACAAATAATATAAAATATTGTGGGGTAGTTGGGGCTGACCTCATCCTGCTTCTGCCTCCCAAATTCAGGGATTATAAGCATGTGCCACCATTCCTGAGTATTTGTGACATATTTCTCAGCAAAATACCTTTAAGGTTATCAGAGTAATTATATGATCCGGTTCTCATTGGGGTCTGTGTGTTATGAGCGTAAAGGCTAGAGGTCAGTGTTCTCAGTCACACTTCACCTTGTTTTTTGAGGCAGGATCTTTCACTCAATGTGGAAATCACTGACTGAGCTAGGCTGGCTGGCCAGTGAGGCCCAGGGATCTAGGCTCAGATGTTCATGCTTGCCAGCAAGCCTTTTCCCAGCTGAGCCATCTTCCCCATCCCCAGAGCAGTAGTTTCTAAGGAGATATGTTACATGTTCAAGGGAATATTTCTAATAAAGAAGTATTTTAGTTTAGAAAAAATGTGAGGATGACTCCCCGTATTTGTCTCACAATTATCTGGTACTTCTCATAAAAAATATCTTTGGTTTTATTAGTAGTGGAAAATAACAATTTATATGTGAAAGATTGATTTAATGCAGACCTATTCTTAAATAAGAATTAAAGCATTCTCTGTCATAACTCTCAGACTTGGAAGTACATCATTCAGTGTGTGTACTTTCCTACCTCACTGCATAGTTCTGCCTGTCCCTTAGGGCTAGTTAACATTCATTATGTAAATCTGTTTTGTTAGGATGGAAGTGTTTCCGGCTCACCCCATTCTAACACGTGACACAGTGGACAGTTATGCATATCTTATTACTTGCCCAGTTATTTCTTCAGTATAAATTCCCAGGAATGAAACTGATGAGCAAAAAGTCTGTACTGTTTTAAGTGATAAGTTTTTATTTATAGCTTTTTATGAAATTGCACTGCCAGAGGCTTGTATCCATTTATGTTTTGGGCAGTAATGGGCAGTGTTTCTTTTTCTCCATTTCCCTGATATTTCTAATATTCAAAGTATATCTGCAAATCTGATAACCAGCACATTTCTTTTCTGCGTGCATTTCTTTATTGAGTTTGAATAAGCCCTGTAGCATGAGTAGTACCATTTAAAGGGAGCTGATGGATTTGCATATTCCTTAGGATTCTAATAGAGCTTCAGATAGTAAAATGGCGGTTTTAAGTCATAAAGTCAAGACTAACTGAGTACATGAGCATAGAACCCCCTGCCAGTGTCTTCATCTACATGTTACTTTATTAAAACTGGGAAAGGATGATCCTTCAAAGTTCCAAGGAGGCGAAAGCTGATAAATATGTATAACTCCTGAATATAAATATCAAATAATATATATGTATGTTCCCTATGTCATACATGTGCCATCTATTTCTCAATTTTTTATTAACCTCCCCCTCCCCAGGAACCTTTCAGACATTTTTCTCCTAACTGTATTCTGGGATGTTTTGATACATTGTATGTCTGTTTATATATTGCTCATTTGGAGGACATGAATTTATGCATTAAGATTTTGTTGACCATCCAGAAGACATTGAGTCAGTACTGCCTCAGTTGAGAATGCATGGTATCTGTGTGTGGTCGTGTGTGCATTTACACGAATATTTGTGGTAAGATCAGAAAACCTCAGTCATGCCCTTGCTAAACCTTTGATACCTTTGGTTTCATGGGACT